GTAGCTAATGTGGTACCAATTTTTAAGAAAGGAGATAGATCACTTGCGTCAAACTATCGGCCAATTAGCCTAACGTCTATTGTGGGAAAGTTACTTGAATCAATAATTGCAAATACAATTCGTCTCCATCTTGAAAAACATAAATTAATAAATGAGTCGCAACATGGTTTTACAAATGGCCGTTCATGTTTAACAAATTTGCTAACTTTTTATTCCAGCATAGTTGAGGCAGTTGATAGTGGTAAGGATTGTGATGTTGTGTACCTTGACCTTAGCAAAACTTTTGATACCGTGCCACATGCAAGACTAATTAAAAAAATAGAAGCTCATGGTATTGGGGGTGCTTTATTAAGTTGGATTAGGGCATGGCTATTCCAAAGGAAACAGAGAGTTAGTTGTGACGATAATCTCTTTCAAGAGAGATTGAGCCTGCTCTTCCCTTCATCAGTACGTCAATATACAAGATAATATAGAAGATACGCCCACCAAGTATCGCCAAACGTTTTGCCCAGAGAGCAAAACGTACCCAGCACACAGTGACACCTGCTACCTACCACCGCCGTAACCAGCAAACTGCTCATCCTTTGCCTGCCTGTCGCTGATTGGCTGGTGTCCCGTCGCACCTGCCCTCCGCCTTCGCCACTAGTTGACGTCTGGGCTGCAGTGCGCTAATATCGTCAGAATATCTCAGTGCTCCAAGCAGTTGACATCTCTCGCTGGTAGACTAAGCCTTGGCTTTCGTGTACTAAGGGAGGTGGCAGCTCGAAGCCGGTATTCCAGCACCACTAATACTTTATTTTGCTATCACTGTAACTCACTTGTCTTAATGTAACTTTTCATTTGCCAGTGATTCTTCATATTATTTTGTTTGTTGACTTGTCTTTCATATTTTTATGTGCTTAACTTTATTCATGTCTTGTTTTTCTAAAGTAATTAAAATTTCATTGTTAATTTACTTGTGTTTTGTGTGTCTTCCCATTACCTTACCACAGACGAAAGCTCCAGCTTTTCTCTTTTTTTTCTATAATGTGACGAGGCCCTGCCCCTAGCTTTTGAAACAGCCGAACACCAACGCTTTACCGTCACATAGTATAAATGGGGTTAAGTCAGAGTGGGATAATGTTGTTAGTGGAGTACCTCAGGGCTCTGTCCTGGGACCTCTGTTTCTCTAACTCTCTGTTTCCTTTGGAATAGCCATGCCCTAATCTAACTTAATATAGCACCCCCAATACCATGAGCCTCCACCTTTTTAATTAGTCTTTCATGTGGCACTGTATAAAAAGCTTTGCTAAAGTCAAGGTACACAACATCACAATCCTTACCACAATCAACTGCCTCAACTATGCTGGAATAAAATGATAGCAAATTTGTTGCAGGATAGCAGCATGGCGTGGGTGAGGCGCGAATCACCTGCTGGATGACGTGGGTGAGGGGCGGGTCACCTGCTGGATGGCGTGGGTGAGGCGCGAATCACCTGCTGGATGACGTGGGTGAGGGGCGGGTCACCTGCTGGATGGCGTGGGTGAGGCGCGAATCACCTGCTGGATGGCGTGGGTGAGGCGCGGGTCACCTACTGGATGGCGTGGGTGAGGCGCGGGTCACCTGCTGGATGACGTGGGTGAGGCGTGGGTCACCTGCTGGATGACGTGGGTGAGGCGTGGGTCACCTGCTGGATGACGTGGGTAAGGCGCGGGTCACCTGCTGGATGGCGTGGGTGAGGCGAGGGTCACCTGCTGGATGGCGTGGGTGAGGCGCGAGTCACCTGCTGGATTGCGTGGGTGAGGCGCGGGTCACCTGCTGGATGGCGTGGGTGAGGCGCGGGTCACCTGCTGGATGGCGTGGTTGTGGCGCGGGTCACCTGCTGGATGGCGTGGTTGTGGCGCGGGTCACCTGATGGATGACGTGGGTGAGGCGCGGGTCACCTGCTGGATGGCGCGGGTCACCTGCTGGATGGCGTGGGTAAGGCGCGGGTCACCTGCTGGATGACGTGGGTAAGGCGCGGGTCACCTGCTGGATGACGTGGGTAAGGCGCGGGTCACCTGCTGGATGACGTGGGTAAGGCGCGGGTCACCTGCCGGATGGCGTGGGTAAGGCGTGGGTCACCTGCTGGATGACGTGGGTAAGGCAAGGGTCACCTGCTGGATGGCGTGGGTGAGGCGTGGGTCACCTGCTGGATGGCGTGGGTCACCTGCTGGATGGCGTGGGTCACCTGCTGGATGACGTGGGTGAGGCGCGGGTCACCTGCTGGATGGCGTGGGTGAGGCGCGGGTCACCTGCTGGATGGCGTGGGTGAGGCGTGGGTCACCTGCTGGATGGCGTGGGTGAGGCGCGGGTCACCTGCTGGATGGCGTGGGTGTGGCGCGGGTCACCTGCTGGATGGTGTGGGTGAGGCGCTGGTCACCTGCTGGATGGCGTGGGTGAGGCGCGGTCACCTGCTGGATGGCGTGGGTGAGGCGCGGGTCACCTGCTGGATGGCGTGGGTGAGGCGCGGGTCACCTGCTGGATGGCGTGGGTGAGGCGCGGGTCACCTGCTGGATGACGTGGGTCACCTGCTGGATGGCGTGGGTGAGGCGCGGGTCACCTGCTGGATGGCGTGGGTGAGGCGCTGGTCACCTGCTGGATGGCGTGGGTGAGGCGCGGGTCACCTGCTGGATGGCGTGGGTGAGGCGCGGGTCACCTGCTGGATGGCGTGGGTGAGGCGCGGGTCACCTGCTGGATGACGTGGGTCACCTGCTGGATGGCGTGGGTGAGGCGCGGGTCACCTGCTGGATGGCGTGGGTGAGGCGCTGGTCACCTGCTGGATGGCGTGGGTGAGGCGCGGGTCACCTGCTGGATGACCTGCACTGGGTGAGGCGTAGTGTGCAGGTTCAGCAGCGGTCTCCAACAGTCCACACAGGCATCGCTGCCACTATTGTACCTGAAGTACAGTGTACTACTGTTGCTCCCACTGGTACCTCAGCCCCCAGTCACTAATGTACTTCTCGGTGTTCCACCAGCAGGTGTCACGTGTACAATGATCACTGCTGCTAAGTGGCAGTTAGTCCACTTAGTCTAAGTGACGTAGTCCTTCAGAACTGTAATTCATTGTAATCTGTAGGAGCTCTAGCGAGCGTGTTCTCACAACAGAATGCTCCACAAGAGCATTCTGTTCCTCCCCGCCCCCGTCAGTAAGGGCGGGCAGGAATAACTGATGAACAGTCATGTTAAAATAATCTTTAAGAAACACTTACAGCCCTTGAGGTTACCTTGAGGTGCTTCCGGGGCTTAGCGTCCCCGCGGCCCGGTCGTCGACCAGGTCTCCTGGTTGCTGGATTGATCAACCAGGCTGTTGGACGCGGCTGCTCGCTGCCTGACGTATGAGTCACAGCCTGGTTGATCACAGCCCTGGATGAAGCCAAGGATTACTCGACTTAATACTTACACTGTCACCACCTCTTATAATGTGGGGTAATTAAGCAAATTGACTCAGAACAGGATCAGTCAATTAGTATGAATTACTAAGAAATTTATCTTTAATTACTTAAAAAAAGGTTGATGGATTTCCTTAAAACTGTTTACTTAACACCAGGGAAAATATTTACACCAATATGATATTCGTAGGATCACAGGAGTTTTCAAAACAAATTTAAGAACTTAGGACTCATAAAATATATTGAGGGGAAAATTGTGTAAACACAGGGAATTACTTGATCACCTTTATTTAACAAATGCATAAGTCACAACCTGACTACTAATATCCTCTACTTCAGACAGTGATAATATAAGTACTAATTGGTACTATTAACTCAACGAAGACTTTACTGCTTAATCATTCGTGCTAAGCTTGGAGTTATGGCCTCCCTGCCCCTGGTGTTATGTCCTCCCTCCCCTGGTGTTATGTCCTCCCTCCCCTGGTGTTATGTCCTCCCTGCCCCTGGTGTTATGTCCTCCCTCCCCTGGTGTTATGTCCTCCCTCCCCTGGTGTTATGTCCTCCCTGCCCTGGTGTTATGTCCTCCCTCCCCTGGTGTTATGGCTTCTCTCCCCTTGTGTTATGTCCTCCCTGCCCCTGGTGTTATGTCCTCCCTCCCCTGGTGTTATGACTTCTCTCCCCTGGTGTTATGTCCTCCCTCCCTCCCCTGGTGTTATGTCCTCCCTCCCCTGGTGTTATGTCCCCCTTCCTTGGTGTGGACGTGTCCCCCCCCCCCCACCTATCCTCCCCTCCCTGGTGTGGACGTGTCCCCCCCCCACCTATCCTCCCCTCCCTGGTGTGGACGTGCCCCCCCCCCCCCACCTATCCTCCCCTCCCTGGTGTGGACGTGCCCCCCCCCCCACCTATCCTCCCCTCCCTGGTGTGGACGTGCCCCCCCCCCCACCTATCCTCCCCTCCCTGGTGTGGACGTGCCCCCCCCCACCTATCCTCCCCTCCCTGGTGTGGACGTGCCCCCCCCCCCCCCCACCTATCCTCCCCTCCCTGGTGTGGACGTGCCCCCCCCCACCTATCCTCCCCTCCCTGGTGTGGACGTGCCCCCCCCCCCCACCTATCCTCCCCTCCCTGGTGTGGACGTGCCCCCCCCCCACCTATCCTCCCCTCCCTGGTGTGGACGTGCCCCCCCCCACCTATCCTCCCCTCCCTGGTGTGGACGTGCCCCCCCCCACCTATCCTCCCCTCCCTGGTGTGGACGTGCCCCCCCCACCTATCCTCCCCTCCCTGGTGTGGACGTGCCCCCCCCCACCTATCCTCCCCTCCCTGGTGTGGACGTGCCCCCCCCCACCTATCCTCCCCTCCCTGGTGTGGACGTGCCCCCCCTCCCACCTATCCTCCCCTCCCTGGTGTGGACGTGCCCCCCCCCCACCTATCCTCCCCTCCCTGGTGTGGACGTGCCCCCCCCCCACACCTATCCTCCCTGGCACCACATGGCTTGAGCAATCATGACCCAGGTTGTCTACCCAGCAAGCAGGCTACCAAGCCGACCTGCATCCTTCCCACACTAATTACCAAGGCAAATTAATATACACTTGGGCCACTTTAAGTGAAAAACTTTAATCTCAAATCACAAATAATGGGTGATTACATCGGCACTCTCCCCACGTAAGTTGTTAAGTGCAAAACAATTAACAAAACAAGCTTTTTAATTCAAGATAATACATCATTCTTTGAACAGCTAAACTGTTATAGGTCTGCTGCTGGATGGTGTGGGTGAGGCGTGGGTCACCTGCTGGATGGTGTGGGTGAGGCGTGGGTCACCTGCTGGATGGTGTGAGTGAGGCGCGAGTCACCTGCTGGATGGTGTGGGTGAGGCGCGAGTCACCTGCTGGATGGTGTGAGTGAGGCGCGAGTCACCTGCTGGATGGTGTGAGTGAGGCGCGAGTCACCTGCTGGATGGTGTGAGTGAGGCGCGAGTCACCTGCTGGATGGTGTGGGTGAGGCGTGGGTCACCTGCTGGATGGTGTGGGTGAGGCGTGGGTTACCTGCTGGATAGTGTGGGTGAGGCGTGGGTCACCTGCTGGATGGTGTGGGTGAGGCGTGGGTCACCTGCTGGATAGTGTGGGTGAGGCGTGGGTCACCTGCTGGATGGTGTGGGTGAGGCGTGGGTCACCTGCTGGATGGTGTGAGCTACTGCTCTATGCTCTCCATTTTCCAGACCTTAACGTAGTCGACCTGAAGAGCAGCCTTCTCGCTGATGTGCCCCTCACAGTGCTCCCAGCTGGGCAGCCACCACTCCCGCTGAAGAGAGAGTAATGCATCACTGTTAACAGTACCGAGCAGGTGGAGAATGTGATAGTTGGTAGTGTTGGTACTGTGTTCTGGGTTTAAGGTGTCACAGTTGTTACTGTGTCAGTTGCTACTGTGGGCGGCAGTTGGCATATATTGGTGTGAGATGGAAAGACAACGAAGTAGCTTACACCGTCGGCAGACTTAGACCTACTGTGATGACGGTAATGGAGCGGGAGTGTGATGAAAAGTGTTCAAGGAAAAGGTGTTTCGGAACTGTAAGCGGGGTAGAGTCTAGCCATGTGGGTCAAGGTTTGGCCAAATTTTGGAAGTGGGACCTTCCATAGAGGGAAGATGGAACGACACGAGAAGAAATATTGTAACATGAACCGAGAAAATTTTGCAAGCGAGACATCCGTACAGAAAAATGGAGGTGGTGAAAGGGAACAGGGAAGGGGGGGGGCAACGGTCAACCCACGACATAAGGGAGAGTGAGGATGTTGTAGGGACTGGGCAAGGTAACGAAGATTGTAGCGATCACGACGATCCTGAAGAGACAGGACGGTCGGTTTCAACATACAGGCTCAGGGTAGGGAACGAACGAAAGGTACCAGAGCTGTGGCGTAACCCAGTGTGGTGTAGAGCATCAAGACGACGAAGAGCTAAAAGAGAGGTAAACAAATAAGCAGGACAACAATAATCAAGTTTAGACAGTACGAGAGAGGAATGTAGAGTGAGGAGCATGCACCTATCAGCTCCCCAGGAAGTACGGGACTAGACTAAGTCGAGGGCCTTAAAGCACTTAACTAGAAGGTAAGAGATATGGACAAACTAGTGTCAAAGATTTACCTCAAAAGTTTAGCAGAATCTTTATACAGAAGAGGATTATCTTATAGCGACAAATGGAGACAAAGTACGATCTGCTTCCTAGTAAAAGTCATAGCACAAGTCTTAGTTGTAGAGAACTTGAGGACATGATTGCTGCCCCAGGACGACACGGCATCAATAGCAAGTTGAAGCCGTTGTTGCAGGAAAGGCGAGTCATCACCTTAACAGCAGACAGTAAGTAAGTAATTATCAAAAGAAGGCACCAAACCGGGAAGGCTATGTAGCACCATCAAATGTGCGGAATAATCAGAGGGCGCTAAATATCACCAAGGATGACATTATGAGAACAGAAACGTATAAGGCGAACGATATCAAAAGTATCCGAATCACCAAGAATTCTATCGAGGGACAAGTGACCGCGAGGGGCGGTCGGAAAACAAGACACACGCTCGTCCTGGAAGTCAGGACATTCAACAAGGATATGCACGACCGTAAGAGGGACAATGCAATTTGGACAAGAAGGAGCAGGGCGGCGCTCCATTAAATGACTGTGTATAGCCAATATGCAACCTCGCCAGAGCCGTTTCCCATCGCCGGTTACGGTGGCAGGAAGACGACCATGAGGACACACTACTCTTAAGAGTACACAGTTTGTTATCAGTAACAGAAGACCAACAATCCCGCCAACGGGTAAGGATGGAGGAATGAGTAACTCGGTAAAAGTCAGAATAAAGAATACCTTCATGGGAGATGGGACAAGAGCGGACAGCTTCCCTAGCAGCAGCATCCACACGCCTATTTAAAGAAACACCAATATGGCTGGGAACCCAGCAAAACTCAACTGACTTAAATTTACTGGAAATAAGAAACAGCCAATGCTGAATCTCGACAACCACTGGATGGACCGGGATTAAAGGACCCGAGAGCCATGAGGGCACTACAAGAGTCAACGGCAAATACAAAGGAAGATTGACAATGAGAAAGCAGGAGACGAAGAGCATAGAGAATAGCAGAAAGTTCCGCTGTGAAGATGCTAGTCTCCGGAGGTAGGCGACACATATAAGTGCTGTCAGGAAAAACAACAGAGTAGCCTACACCGTTTGCAGACTTGACCCATCAATGAAGATGGAAACGGAGCGGGAGTGCGAAGAAAAGTGCTCAAGGAAAAGCCGTTTCAGAACCGTAGGAAGGGTAAAAGCTTTAGAGATGCGGGTTAAGGATGTACAAAGCTTCAGAAGGGGGACTCTCCACGGGGGCAAGGAAGGAACAACACGAGGAGATACATTAGAAATACGAACTGAAAGAGAATCCTGTAAGCGAGATAACCGGACAGAAAGAGACCAGGCTTCAAAGAAAAGTACCCAGTGGCTTGTTTGTACTACATCTCAGTGGATCTTCTTCTGTTATTTTGACTCTGTGGCGACTTTTGATAGTTGGGAGTATTTTCTTCTTGATTTGCTCCTTAATCTGTGAAAAACGTGGAGGTATTTTAGTCTGTACAACAGGAAGAGCAGTGGCAGATTTTGCTAGTGAGTCTGCCTTTTCATTATCATCTATGCCAATGTTACCTGGAATCCAATTTAAGGTGACTGACTGCCCTAGATTATGTGCTTCTTTTCTTATATGTAGGATTTCTGTGATGAGTTGTATATTATCTCTGTGATGGTTGGATAACAATGCCTGGAGCGAAGATTTAGAGTCGGTATGAATGATGATGTGTAAATGATTCCCTTTTGCATAATTTATGGCCTCCTTCAGGGCATATAATTCTGTCTGCAATGTTGAGCAGCCACTATTCATGCTTCAGTAAGCTTCATGGTTGTTAGTGTAAACTGCTGCCCCAGCAGAACCTCTTTCTTGATCAACTGATCCATCTGTGAAGATGTGAGTCGTTGTGGGTCTTGAGATGGTTTCCATTTGTTGTTCTTTGACTGCTTTGAGCCTCTGCGAGTCACACGCTGATTTTTAACTGGTAGTCCTTCAGTGATTATCTTTAGACTCGTTTCTTTCCATGGAGGAGGTTACCGAAAGTGTTATAAAGTTGCCGAAAGTAGATATGGTCAATCTTCCCGTCAATGGTTTTTAATGGTCCATTTCAAGTCCACTTCCTCTAGAATCTTAACTAAATTATCCGTCCATGCACTTGTTCTATATTGAAGGTTTCTGTGAAGCGATCTATGTATGCTATCTTTAATTGGCAGCCTGGCAGTGGTTCCAACAAATTTTGCTGTTATAGTGGCTATCCTTTGTTTGATCCTGTTTTCTAAGGTTGGTAAGTTGTTTTCCATTCTTAGATTCTCTCGACGTGTCCATGTCGGTGCTCCAAGAATTGTTTTAATGGCATAATTTTGAGAAACTTCAAGTTTCTCCCATTGGTTATCACTGAGGGATGTAAGAGCAGGAGCAGCATATTCAATGAGTGACCTAACTGCTTGAATGTAGTACATTTTAAGTACTGGCAGAGATGCACCCTCTCTAAGACTTGTCAAGGAGCGCAAAGCTGAGTTTCTTGGTTTGCAACGTTGCCGAAGATATTTAATTTCTTGAGTGAATTTCAACTGGCTGTCTATTATGACTCCAAGGTATTGAAAAGAGGTAACCCACTCAATTTCGTGTCCTTGTATTGTGAGTCTGATGTCTTGAGTTCTCATTTTAACGGCCATTGCTTTGGTTTTATTGCTGTTTATTTTCACTGCTATGCGTTCCACTTCCCTGCTGATAATGTCTAGGCATTTTTGTGCATGGTTCCTGGCGCCCTTGCCATTGATGATGATTGAAAGTCGTCTGCATAGTTAAGCAGCTTGGCTTTTGGTAGATTGAGCTTCATGGATTGTCCCATGAGATAGTTGAAGAGGAAAGGGCTTAGCGAAACAGACTGGTATCAGGTAACCCCTGGTGACAAATATCGTTGTGAGTGACTTTAGAGTGAACTAAGGCAGTGCCGCCGCCTAAGTAATCTGTGTGTGACTTTACCACAAGTGTACCTGTACCACAGTGTACAGTGTAGTGCATGGTACCATATAACCTGCAGCCGCCAGCCGCCGCCGCCCTCACTGTACCACGTGACGTCACCACCCTTACTCACGGCCAGTACCAAGAGTGTGTGCGTGTCTGTATACATACAGTACGCCCTACTGCGAGTACCCTCCGTGTCTATGAGCGAAACCAGCTGTCAGGTCACCTACGAGTGCTTGCAAAATGTGTCTGAGTGAGTGAGTGAGTAAGGAAAGGTACCTTATCTTGTAAGTACAAGATCTTGTCATTGTTTTATTGTGTCTGTGTTGATCTGAGGTATCAACCACAGTTCTCACCTTCTCATACCTGTCACAGGTTATAGGTGAATCGACGGTGTATGCATGTTATCTGTGTGGTATCACGACATTTCACTCGTCTGTGAATGTGAGTTTCACATACACCACACATTTAGTTATTGTGTGACATTATTATTGTGCATGTTATTGCCTGTCCCATTGACAGTGTATTTGTTGATTTATTGCACATCATCATTACCGAGTATCCGGTTGGAACTCTTGTGATCCCTTTGCATACCGGCAGTTAGGTTGCCGTGTTAATGATTGGCTGTCAACTGTGTTAAGTTAGGTGTTTCTCCACGAGTGGATACGAGTCGTTTAGCCAGACGTCAAGAGTCTCGCTAATACAACCATAGCTTTGCTGACGCCAATCTAAAGTAAATCAAGCACCCTGTGTATTAGTGGTTAAGTTAGTAAATAAACTACTGTTAAGCTTTATGCGGTGTTTCCGTTGAACCACTTCAGAATACTGCCAATATTACTCAAGCCTTCAGCTCTGGGTGTCTTCAACACCGAGTTGCCTATATTCACTAATCTATAAATGTGATGAGGACCCTAGGAGTCCCTTAAAGTGTTAAATCATTGAGGAGATTCCAACGATCAACGTGGACCAGGACCAGGTGAGGCTAGTCTGAGAAGAGACCCTCAAGGACTTTAACTCGACCTTGCTCCCAGGCCCTGTACGGTTGCTCTCGTATTTTCTATTCTGCTAATTCCGACAGCTTCGTGAAGCGTCTGCCACATGTACATTGGCGACGTACGCATTGCAGTCGTGAAAGCAAAAAAGAAAACCCCCACACCAAGGATGTATGCTGATTTAGCTTGGCACACCACTCGAGCCATTTTCTTCTCTGATTTTTGCTGTTACTTCGT